GTATTTTCTCATAAAATCCTAACAACCTTAGACTCCGATACGTCTTGGGTATAGAGAGGTTAAGCTTATGGTAGGACAGAATTTTCAATCCAAGAGGTTGTTTCAACAATTTCATATATGTTTTAAACAATTTCATATATGTTATCTCCTTTGATCCTAAACAGCAACTACTAAGTTAGGACACAAAAGATTTGGCCCATTTTATAACTCACATTCAGAGCAAACATTTGTATTCTCACCAAGTTTAGGGGCTGTAAATTTTACATATTAATAAGAACGACGGTGGTCAGCATAGGTAAGACTTGCTGGCTTAAGAGAAATATCACATCTAATTGAATGTATAGTGTTAGAAATGAGGACAGTGGTTACTTTTGTAAATAGAAAGAGTACGTCTGGAAAGGGACAGAAGGCAGCTTCTGCAGGCCAGCAATGCTCTATTTCTGAACTCATTTTTTTTTTCAGTAGAAATTTATGGCTATGTATTATGCGACTTCAGTGTAATTTCCCAAGAATCTTAACACTTCTTTATTTTATTCTCTGTGCATTACATTACAAAAATACTTTTTATTATATGGGGAAATAATTCAGTTAGCTTCCTTGTCTAACAAACCAGAATTTTAACATTTTCATATGGCTTACCTAAATGCAGGACTGGGGAAAAAGCTCAGTGGGAGAGTACTTGCCTAGCACACACAAGGCCCTGGGTTCAATCCCCAGCACCACAAAAATAAACATAAAATAAAATGTAAAAAAAATTAATAAATACATTTAACATGTTTTTTCCAAATACCCCAGTTTTCCCCCCAAATCACATCTGTATACCCATTTAGAAACTTATAACCTAATTTGTTCTTAAAAATTTATTTTGTTTCTTAGGAACTTCTGACTTTATATGAATTCAGGTATCCAGAAAGTTTCTTATAGAATATCCTGTCTACCAAATCCTAAAAAGTTCTTATGAACTTCATTTTAGTTGAAAAATGCTTCTTTTAAAAAGTATCTCTCTCCCTAATCGCTCCTTCACCGCCCTCCGACCCCCAGCTTTGTTTTTTCTCTTCCTAGAGACTCCATGGTACTTTTGAGGAGGCCCATCCTTTTTCTAGTCAGATGGTTCCTTCTCATTCAGATGTGATTAGTCCAGGCCACACTTGTTATCCTATCAGTTTTACAGAAGCAGCCATGGCCATAATTTTCCTCACTGACAAGAAACACATCCACTCCAGTCACAGCTAACTACCCCCACCCTCTTCCTGGTTATTGGAAGAGTCTCTGCCAAAAAAACAGTCATCTCAAGGCAATCCACATTCAGCAGCATTTATTTATTAAGGAGAATGTAAAAACAGATATTTGGCATCACCAAATTCAAGGAACAAGATCAACCTGTTTACTCCTTGGCTAAGACTTGCCTTCTGACCCTTTGCATCTGATTCAGGGAAGTCTGAAAACTTTTCACTGTGATTAGCTAGGCAAGTGGCAAAATGCTAGTGATCAGTGTTGACAACTGGATGTGGTTAGAGCCAGACAACTGTTTTTCCCTTTAATCAAGTAAACTTCTTTTTGCAGGAAAGAAGACGTGTCAGGCAGTTTTCTTCATAAGAATCCTAAAAATATATAAACAACGTTCAGTATCCATGAAACCATGAAAATGGCCAATTAGATATAATAATGTATATATACTATATTTACGTATTACATAAATAGTGTATATTTTATATTTTGGATGATTAAGCCAAAAATTTGTCACTTTTTTACTTAGTCTTTTCTTACTGCTATACTAATTTTTCCATTTCTCTTTCATAGTTTTAAATGATAAAAAAAACTGATTAAAAAAAAAACAATGGCGTAACTACTGCCATATAAAGTTGCAGCTGCTGCTAAAACTAACCTACCTGCTTTGTCTCTGACAAGACCTCTCTAATGGCAGAACATAGGTAGTCATCAAGTGCAACCTAAAATCTATAATCTATACCTGAGTGTCGATTATACACATATGTAGTTTTTAAGCATTTTGGAGAAAACAGATACTAACAAAATGTCATGTTTATGTTGATCCATAACTTTCCATGGTAACTTTTATTGGAAATTGCTTTAACAATATAAAATTGATCACTCTCCACTTCCTCAGTGAAAAGCAAATTGCTGTATGTTGTATAAAAAGTATTTTATTTCAAAATTGAATGAATAAAAATAGGTTTTTGTAATATTTGTTCTTGTATCATAATTAATTTGTTTTTGAAACTAAAATATGAGTGCTTTTTAACAAATTATCTCAATTTTAAGAACAAAAGATTTTTTGAATAAAATAGACTTAAGAGAAAAACCATCAAATATGTTATTCAAAATGACCCAATAATTCACCAATCTATTTGTAGAAAGTTATAAAATGACAGCTTATATTTCCCTTACCTGAAATGCTTGGAACTAGAAATATTTCAGACGTGGGAATTTTTGAGATTCGTTAATATCTGCATGAAAATTATCAGTTAAGCATCCTGAGACTGAGCCTCAATATCACTGTCAGAAAGTTTCAGATTTTGGAGCATTCTGGATCTCAGATTTTGCATTAGGTATATTCAACCTCTGCTAGAATTAGAGATATATATTACAAAATTATGAAACAAAAAAGAAATATATAGTTTATTTGTTTTTTAATTTTTTAGTTTCAGATGGACACAATACCTTTATTTTATTTATTTTATTTTTAGGTGGTGCTGAGGATTGAACTCAGTGCCTGACACCTGCTAGGCAAACACTCTACCACTGAGCTATAACCACAGCCTGGAAATGTACAGTTTTAAAGTCATCTGATAATGTAATAAAAAAGATCCGTGTAATGAAATTCAGACATAATTCAGTTTGTTTGGAAATCAAAGGATTCTTTTTTTTTTTTTCCTCTCCTTTTTTAAGTGGTATTTAGGATCAATCCCTGAACTTAGTACATGCTAGCCAGGCACTCAACCACTGAGTAAAGGATTCTTACATTTCAGGCAAATAAATATTTCCCTTTCTAAGGGTATATTTTAACATTAGGCTCCCATGTGTATGTGTGTGTGAGTGTGAGTGTGAGTGTGTGTGTGTGTGTGTGTGTGTGTGTTTCCTTTAACACTGCTAAGAATTTTAACTTTTAGAGAGAAGTCACCACTTTGAGGTCACCCCTTTGATGCATTAGTGCTGGCTCATGTTATTAAAAAAATAAAACATCATACAAGAAAAGGATAAAGTCCATACACAAAGGTGGCACCATATGCTCAAGTTTATTGTACAGTCACAAGTTACACATGGGAAACTAAGCAGAACACTGTATCAGCTTTCACTAACTCAAACCAAGTTAGCAAATGACAGATTTGAGGAAAAAAACTCATTTCATGTCTCACCCAATGTGGGTGATCACAAGAGAAGCTAAATAAAGATGATTACTTTCTGTGTTACTTAGGTAGCAAATTATTTTGATATATACAGCTTCCAAGTTACCTAAAGATATTTCAAAGTGTTTCAAAGCTGGTAAGGAACAGTTCATATTCAGCCTGAAATAAACCATAGAATGGAGTGTTTAAGGGCAAATAACTTCTTTGTACATCCACAGCAGAAACATTCTTTCCCACTAACAGAAATACTACTAAATCTCTGCTCTTTAGGCTTACTAAATTAATGATAAATTTGATATTAGCTAGGTTTGGTTACATTGTTATATTGCACTTGATAACAATGACAACGAAAACCACCAAAGATTCAAGACCTTTTCCAAGAAGTTCATTAGGTATCAGAAATTACAACAAAATACAAGAACATATTCCATGCTGCACATCCAAAAGTTCATTGTTCAAACTCATCATTCAACAAGTTAAAAGGAAATTTTTCCAAAGCACAGATATATTAATTAATTTCATTTACTTTTTGGATCCCATTATTAATTTATCAGATTTTTTTGTTGTTATTTATCAAATTACTACATATGCAAGTTATCCAAGAGTACAAACAAGCTGACACTGAGATAGGCAATGGCCACACCACAGGTATAACAACAACCTCTTCTTGTCCATCCGGCTCATCAACATAGTAACGTACATCAACTTCACATTCTGTTTGCTTTACAAAAACTAGCTGATTTGCTATATACTATAAATGTGCCCCATAAATCTCTTCTTAGGGTCATGATTCAATATCAAAAATCTTTCTCAGCTCTCTTAAAGAAGCCAGTAAACTCTCTTTTATCAACACTTGGATTTTCTCTTTATATAAATATAAATATGATATTCATGAGAATTAATTATGAATAAGTAATTTCATAACACAGGCATAACTTTGGCAATGACATTCTAATTTGTTTACCTTTTACAATGACAAAGAATTGATCAGAATTTATGATAATTGATCATAAAAGAAAGGAAAATGAAAAAAGTGACCCTCACACAAATTTTCTCAAAATACCAATTCCAAAATAAATACCCTAAAAAAGAAACCAATATCAGTATCAATATTTCTCAACTATGGCAAATGGTTTTAATATCTTCTAACTCATTTTTTTAAAATTCTCAGATTAATGAGAATTTTCTACTTTGAAATTAATTTTAATTTTCAATAAATCACAAATACGGTAGGTAGTATTTGAAATGTTTGACAACTAAAATAGATTCCATAGAACTATTTTTTATTATTATTATTTAGTCAAATATACTCATGTGCCACTTTAGGGTAATAATCCCAACATTTTCCTCAGAATAGACTTTCAAATTATACTCCATATTTTTGTAGAGATATATGTGTTCATTTTTGAAAGAAAATCCATACTATTACCTAACACTACATTTCATAAAAGCAATTTAAAACATCTTGTTAATTTCCAACTACAGCATCTTTCAATCTCCAATAGAAATTCCTTGAGATAGAGTTCATAAAAGGAAAAAAATTGAGTGAAAGCAAATACTAACACCAGCTGAAGAGTGTATTTCTATTCAAAATGTATTTTTATGAATGACAGCTCTTAGTTAGAAAAACAGATGAGGGAAAAGTTGCTATAGACCAACTTAGTGACTGCTTGGTGGTAGGCAACACTTGGCCCTAGGATAAAAATATTTTTTTCTTAAAAGAATTTTAAATTTATTGGCAATAAAAATACTTATTGCATATGATTGAGATCTTTCAAGCTACTAATAAATTCTACCCCAAACCCATTAATTTTAAAACTCACTAAAGCTAAATATAAGGTTTTGTCCATGTTCTAACTTGCATCTAAATGTGGTTCTACTTTGTGAATATATTCTCCAGTTCAGGTCATCCACTTGTGCTTATATAACACAATATGGCAAGATAAATTGCAATTATTTTTAAAATACAGAAAAAAATAGTCAATTATTTAAGGGAAACATTTATCATTGCCTAATGAGGACAGCAGTTAAAAAGCTACTAAAGTCTTAATTTCTTGAGTATAACATGATGTAATTGCACAAAATAGGGATAATTAAAAGTCATCCCTAGGCCTTGAGGAACTGTGAATAAATCATACATTCCACCAGAAGATTCACCACCCTGCAGGCATATAAAACTACAACTTGCTGCCTATGCTGCTTTTATTAAAAAAGTAATTTCTGTTAAAAAAGAAAAAACTTTAGAAAGCTTTAAAAGGTTTTCAATAAGTTGAACAGCTTATAAAAATACCTTTTTGTAGTTATTCTGATAACTGAGACTGGTTTTGCACATTACCTTGATTAAACTGAGGAACCACCCATGGGAGTAGCGTCATGCTACTGCTAGAAGTAAACCATGGAGCTACCTGAAGAGTTTTGATCTCATGCATTTCTCATGGGGTGGGAATGGGGATTCAGGTTCCTGTCTGTAATGAAAATGATCTTGACCCGTTATTGCAACAATTTTAGAAATACAAGGAAAAATACATATATAGGAGGAAAATAAATTAATAACTAAAGACTCCACTCTAATCTAAGAACATACTATTAATAAAGAAATAGTCTTTCAATTAAAATGCTTTCTTTAAGTGTATTGTAAATAGCCAGATGAAAACAATGGGATAGATGTGCTTTGGAAATGATTTCCAACTTCGTATGGCTTTAACCATCAGGATATTGAGCTGAAATTACACTATTACATACACAAAAAGGTATTTTTGAATACAGACTACATTTTTATATAGGTTGGCTTAAAGGATTTCTTGTAGGACTTAAACTATACAAATTAAAGTAATAAAACAGATTACGGATTAAATATAAATAAAAATTAATCACATGTACCCAATTTTCATATTAAAACATTGTACCGTTATTATTACAGAAAAAACTTCTCCCCAGGGCTGGGGATTGAACTCAAGGTCATACATGCTAAGCACATGCGCAACCACTGAGCTAAACCTAAACACCCAGTTTCCAGGAAATAATTCTGGTGGTATCATAAATTTTTTAAAAAGTTCTACTATGTAACAGATATTAAAATCCAAGTTCAGGTAATTACAAAGCTTTTAGTAGCTTTACAAGTCAACTGTAGTGTAATATGTATTAAGTACCTGTACAAAAAAAAAAAATGTGAATGCTAAGGTCCAAATTTAGATTGCTTTAAAACAAGGACAATAAACAGCAAAACCCAAAATACTAAATCAGAAATGAAAATTGTAATAGATACTATTTTATATAAAGTAGTAAGTGAGGCACTACCTGTCTTATGTACATTGAATAAAAACCATCATGTGAAATTTTATTATTTAAATATCTAGGGCAATGTATGTGTATGAACCTGTCTGAACTTATTTATAAAGAGAAGGGCAACAAATATTGCTCTCAATTTTGTGGTTAGACGGAAGTCACTGAGTACCTTCAGCAGAAGTCTTATAATTTTATTCCTCATGAAGGAAATTGAACTCTACAATCAAGCTGGTAATTCTAGTGATCTAGGATGCAGTATTTAAAAATCACAGTTAAGTTTCTGAGTTTCCTTCACCATTTTCATGAGGTTGAAGCTGTTCCCTTTCCTGTTCTTCTTGAGGTGGCCGAACACGTTTAAAAAAGCCCATCTGTCGGTTGAAGTAGAAACATTATTTTCACCTCAATATAGAAAACTAATAATATTTTTCCATATTTTCCTTAGTGCATTATAATTATCCCAAATAGTGAGATTTACTTACATGTAGTCATAGGTGCACACAATATAACATGATAATTTGTTCAATATTATTTCCCAGTATCTCCCCTTTCCTAGCTCTCCTCCCTCTTCCTAGTTCCTTTCCTAATTCCTACTGGTCCCTCTTCAATTTTCATGAAATCCTCTCCCCCCCAAAATACTTTTTTAGTGACTATATTATAACTAAGAAAATTTACATAAAACTTTATGCAATTTCTCTTCCTTTAAATAAGTCATAGCATTATGCCATTTTCTTCCTTCCCTTGTTTCTTTTTAATCCTTCTTTCTCTCCCTCCCCATTTTCTTCTGTTTTCCTCCCTCCTTTCCTCCCTCTAAGTCCATTACGTACCCTGTACATTACGAAAACTAAGACAGCCAGCAACAGCAATCCTGCCAGAACTGCTAAAATGATCACCCACACAGGCACAGGCATGGGGGCTGGCTGGATGCCCCAGGTGACATTAGTGGTAACCTGTCAGGAAAAAAAAAAAGATCTTTAGTCTTAAAAATAATTTATAGATGACTAAGTACTTGGGTGCTGTTAAATTTTATTTTAATAGTAGTCACATTGAATGCTTTTTTGCATACATAATTTGGTGGTCACATGTTTGGTATCAAAATATAAATATACACATAAAATTCTCAACAATAGAATAATTTCCAATTGCATCTAAAATGATTTCTAAATATTCCAGTCCAGCCATTTACGTATGATGGCTGATCTCATTTTCAATCCTAAAAAATCTTCCAAATGCCTTCACTTGTTGCAGTGAATTTCACACTTTCTAATTTAATGGGAAGAAAATATCTTTAAAAATACCCCACATAATTTAGTATACACTAAAAACTCTCTTATATAAGACAAGATGTGACAGTGAAAGTCCAGTTTTGATAAATCTAGGTTGGAATAGTAGAATAATACTATTTTTAAAATGTTATAATCCTATCAAATAACTCTTCCATTACTTTAAATATCAAAATAGTTGAAGTGCCATTAAAAAATTAAAAAAAAAATGTTTTTAAACATTTAAGGCCTTTGAATGGAGTATATTTATCCTGTTTCCCTAAACCAATAACTTACTAATGTGGAGTTGAAGATATCCTCAATTGGAAGGTTTTTGTAAGGAAACTCTATGACATTAAATGAAGCAGATGACTTCAGAGAATACGAATGATTCTGGTTTTCTTTCTGCATGGAAGTAACAAAAAGATGATTTTCCAGATGTCAGACCTTTTTGATTTCTTTGGAAAAAAAGTGGATAAATCTGCTGTTACATCTGTCTACTTACATTCATAAAGGTCTCAGTCCACAGTAAAGACTTTACGTACAGGATTGCACTCTTGCCTCTGTCTAGTCGTCCAACCTGGCAGACAATCCTCAAGCACTGAGCAATTCCACAACCCTGTCAAAACAAATGATTTACTTACCCCAAAAAAGAGGCATTCCATAATCTCTGCAACATTTAAATATTATACATTGTATTTTATTATTTTATGTAAAGGCCAAAGAGAGATTATCTAGATTCGTTTGCCTTGTGGAATTAATGCTTAAAATAATTAGACTAATAGTTAAGACTGATTTTTGTAATGAAGAGGTTGGTTTTAGTGTGATTGGTTATAGAAGGATAAAACCTATAACTTAAAAGACTTGTTTTTATAGCTAAAACTCAACATTCCTAAGGTGACACAGAGCATGAAAATCAGATCACAATATCCCAGTGCAAAAGAAAAGGAAAGCGAGTGAATTTATTCTATGTCAGGCCTGTAGAAACTAATAGCAAGCTGATGACCTCTGCCACACTTGATGTTTTTAATCAGTAACTTGAAGGCTGGTAACCAAAGAAAACAAATATATATCACCTTCTGTGTACCTGTCACAGTGCATTAAACAGATCACATGCATATACCTCATAGCAATTGCTATCTAATAAGTGGTACCATCAATGAATGGACAGGAACAGAAGTGAACTCCCTAGATCTGACAAAGGGCATCTACAAATTCCCACAGCTAACACCACTCTTAATGGTGAGACACTGGATATTTGTCTCTAAGATCACAAGCAACACAAGGATGACTTCTCACTCATGCCATTCTAGTCAACATTGTATGTAAGGTTCTAGTCAGGACAATTAGGCAATAAGAACATAATGAAAGAATGAATAAAAGCTCTCTCTTTGCAGCTGACAACATCTTATATATAGAAAACACTAAATAATACTCCCCAAAACTAATAAAAGCTAACAGGTACAGAAAAGTACAAGACACAAGATCAACATAAAAATATAAGCAATAAAAAAATCCAAAAAGAAAATTAAGAATTTTGTAAAAAAAAAAAAAACCAGCATCAAAAAGAACAACATACACAGGAATAACATAACTAATACCTACATGAATGCAAGAATAGTACAATGAAAACAACAAAATATTACTAAAATCAAAGAAAAACTAAATGAATAGACAGCTAGTGTTCAATGATATAAAGACATGATATTTTAAGATGGTAATATCCTTCAAGTTTCTGATCAGGCTCAACAAAACTTCTCTCAAGATTTCAATGACCTTTATTTGAAGAAATGTACAAGCTCTTCCTACAATTCATATAGAACTGCAAAAAACCCCATGGAGCCAAAACAATCTTGCAAAATAAAAAAAATATTATATGGTTCACAATTCCCAAATTCAAAACTTACTGTTGCAGAGCTATGGTAATCCAAACAGGCTTTGGCATCAAGAAAACACACATGGAACAATGGAATAGAACTGAGAAAGCAGAAGAGGGATTACTAGGGACAGGGAAAGGTGTGACATTAGGGACAGCAAAGGGAGAAGAGGGACATGATCAGTGCACAATGTGTGCATGTATGGAAATATCACAGTGAACCTCAATAGAGTTAATATGTGCTATAATAATGCAAAAAGTAAAATGGGATTGTAATAAACCCAAATATATCTATGACCACTGTCTTCAATAAGGATGCCTAAGCCATTTATCTTTTCAATAAATAATGCCCAGATAACTAAACAATCACATGCAAGGAATGAATTGGAACCCCTACCTTGTGCAACATACAGAAATTAACTCAAAACAAACAGGTGTAAATATAAGAGCTATATGAGTAAAATTTAGAAAACTAGAAAACCTAGATGTAAATTTTATAACCTTTTCCTTATTGATGGTTTTATAATTTTGGGAGGGGTGGTACCAGAAATTGAACTCAGGGACACTCAACCACTGAGCCACATCCCCAGTTCATTTTATTTAGGGACACAGTCTGTCTCACTGAGTTGCTTAGAGCCTCATTTTTGCTGAGGCTGGCTTTGAACTTGCCATCCTCCTGCCTCGGCCTCCCAAACCAGGGATTGCAGGCATGTGCCACCATGCCCAGCTATGGTTTGAAAATATAAGCAACAAAAGATGACAAAGATAAACTGAGCTTCTTATATTTAAAAACTTTTGTGCATCAAAGGATGCCATCAAGAAAGTGGAAACTCACACAAAATAAGAGGAAATATGTGTAATCATATATCTAATAGAGATGGTATCCAGAACATATAAAGAACTCTTTGAGACTCAATAATAAAAGACAGGGGTGAAAAACCAATTTAAAAGTGGACAAAGGATTTTAACAGACATTTTTCCAAAAGAGATATACAAATGAAAATTTGTATATTTTGCTCAGCAATGTTAGTCAATAGGGAATTGCAAATAAAAACCACAATGAAATAGTGCTTCACACCAAATGGGATGACTATAAAAAATTAAAAACAATCCAACAAAAACAAGACAATGACTAGTAGAGAAATTGGAAGCATCATATACTGCTTGTTGAGAATATAAATGATGCAGACATTTGTTTTGTTTTGAGACAGGTCTTGCTATGCTGCCCAGTCTGGTTTTGAACTCTTAAGCTCAAGTGATCTTCCTAACTCAGCGTCCTGAGTGCTGGGATCCACTTTGGAAAACAGTTTCTTCAAAAAGTTACACACAAAATTTCTATATACCCCAGCTGTCTCATTCCTAGGTTTATTCCCAAGGGAACTGAAACACATGTTCACATAAAAACTTTTGCATGAATATTCACAGCAGCACTATTAAAAACAGACAAAAAGTAAAAACAATCTAAATTTCCATCAAATTAGTGAATGAATAAACAAAAGGTAGTATCTACACAGTGGAACATTACGAAGTTATAAAAATGAATGCAGTACTCACACATGCTACATCAATGAATCTTAAGTGCAAGAAGCCAGACACAAGAGGACACATATTACATGTTGCCATATCTATGGAAAGTCAGGAATAGGCAAATGCAGGACTGAAATCAAATTAGAAGAAACCAGGAGCTGGTGGTAGGGGAGAATGGGAAGTAACTGCTTAATAGGTAGATCCACTTCTTTCTGGGGTGACAAACATCTTTTGGAATTACAGTGGTCATGGTTATCTAATGTTGCAAATATACTAAAAACTACTACATCATATACTTCAAAATGATTAAGGTGTGAATTCTGTGTTACTGTAAGTTTTATCTCGATTTTTAAAATTATAGTTTTATAGTTTATAAACTACAGGATCAAAGTAAATTTATGGGGGTGGGGTGAGGTAAAGGCAGTTCTCATTTCATGTGGATTGGTCAGGGATATCCACTGTCATAATTTGACATGTTAGTATTCCAGAAAGAAATGGGTAAATGTGTCACAGGGCTATCTGGACAAAAATCGTTTTAGGAACTGCAAGAGCAGTTTTCAAAATCTGGAGGTAGAAACATGCTGTGGTGGTTCATGAAAAGCCAGGTGGACACGGAGAGAAGGTGGGCACGTAAGCACAGGGGGCCGGCAGAGAAGGAGGAGGACTGTGGTCATGATAAGCTTAAAGGCTGTGTAGGCTCTGGGGTTTTTTTGTTTGTTTTTAATTTTCTTTTTAGTTAGATGGGAAGGCACTGGAGTGACATGACCTGACTTATATTTGAAAAGATCACATGGATTCTATGTGGTGAATAAACTGTAGAGGGAAGAAGGAAAGTATTCAGAGATCAAGTGAGGGTTTAGCAATAGTCCAAACAAGAGAAGAAGGTGGCTTGGGTTAGGTTGTAAAAGTGGTGAAGCTGTTGAGAAGGAGTCAGATTCTGAGTTATCTGAAAACAGATATTGACTGAATTGGCTGAAATGTAAGATGTGCGATTTGAGAAAAAAAGAGAAGATGCAGGTTTGAACAGAGAATGGAATGGATATTTACGCAATATGGATCACTATGGAAAGAGCACAGTTCAGAAAACTCCAGGGTCTATTTTTATTTTTTTATTTTGTTACAGCATTATAATTATATATAATAACTGGGTTCATTTTGACACAGTCATACCTGCATGAAATTTGATTTAATCCATTTTAGTCCCAGGAACTCTCACTTTTCCTCCCTTACTCCTTCCTCTACTCTGTTCCTCTTCCTTTCACTCACTTATTTATTTTTGATTGGTACTTTATAGGTATACATAAAGGAGCAATTCACTGTGGTATATTAATACATGTACACAGAGTAAGTCTGTCAAATTCATTCTGCATTTCCTCCCCTTTCCCTTCCATTCTCCCTCCCTGTTGACCTCCTTCTAACCCCACTGGTCTTCCCTATATCTTTATGATATTCAACTTCCCACTTTTCTTCCCTTACTTTGTTTTAGCTTGTGCACTGATTTTCTGAGTCTGGCTTATTTTACTTAGCATGATGTTCTCTAGTTCCATCCATTTACTGGTAAATGCCATCATTTCATTCTCCTTTATGGCTGAATAAAAACTCCTTTGTGTATATATAACACATTTTCTTTATCCATTCATCTATTGACAGGAATCTGAATGGTTCCATAAATACCAAGGAGTGGGATAGCTAGGTCATATAGTGGTTCTATGCTGGTCTTTTTGAGGAATCTCCATACTGCTTTCCTGAGTGGTTGTACTAATGTGCAAATTCATCAAGAAGTATGATGTTGCCCACATCTTCACCAACGTTTACTATTATTTGTATTCTTGATAATTGCCATTTTGATTGGAGTAAAAAAATATCAGTGTAGTTTTGATTTGCATTTCCCTGATTGCTAGAGATGTTCAGAATTTTTTCATGTATCTGGTGGCCATCTGTGTTTCTTCTTCTTCTCTTTTTTAAAATATCTATTTAGTTAGTTGTAGTTAGACACAATACCTTTATTTTATTTATTTTTATGTGGTGCTGAGGATCAAACCCAGGGCCTCGCACATGTTAGGCAAGCGCTCTACCACTGAGCCCCAACCCCAGGCCTGTGTTTCTTCTTTTGAGAAATGCCTGTTTAGTTCTTTTGCCCATTTCTTGATAAGATTGTTTTTTGATTATTTGGTTTTATTTTTTTTTGGTGTTTTTTTGGTGTTGAACTTTTGGGTTCTTTACATATTCTGGATGTTAATGGACAGAGGAGTAGCTGGCAAAGATTTTTCTTTCATTTTGTAGGCTTTCTTTTCATGCTCTTAATTATTCCATTGCTGTGAAGAAGCTTTTTAATTTGAGATGACTTTCCACTATTGATTATTGGTTTTAATTCTTGACCTTTAGGTCTTCTTAAGGAAATCAGTGCCTATACCAATATGATGAAGTGTTGATCCTGTGGTTTCTTCTAACAGTTGCAAAGTTTCTAGTATAATTCAATTCTAATTCAAAGTCTCTGCTCCACTTCAATTTGACTTTTGTGCAGTGTGAAAGGAATCTAGTTTCATTTTTTCTACATACAGCTATCCAGTTTTCCCAGCACCATTTGTTAAAGTGGCTACCTTTTCTCCATCATATATTTTTTGGCACCTTTCTTATTTATCAGATGGCTGTAAGTGTGTGGTTTTGTCTTTGTCTCCTCTATTCCATTCTATTGGAATTCATATCTATTTTGATACCAATACCATGCTGGTTTTGTTACTATAGCTCTGTAGTATAATATGAGATCAGATATTGTGATGTCTCCTGCATTACTCTTCTTGCTCAGGATTGCTTTCCTTTATTTTATTTATTTATTTTTATGTGATGCTAAGGATAAAACCCAGGGCCTTGCATATGCAAGCTGTACCGCTGAGCCACAACCCCAGCCCCAAAGCTGTCATTTTGACAATATAAATTCTGCCTATCCAACAACATGGGAGGTCTTTCCATCTTTTAAGGTTTTCTTCAATTTCTTTCTTCAGTCAGTGTTCTATAATTTTCATTGTACAGATCTTTCACCTCCATGGTTAGATTAATACCCAAGTTTTTTTGTTTATTAGTTATTGTGAATGGAACAGTGTTTCTGATTTCTGTGTCAGCAGAATCATTGTTAGAGTATATGAAAGCTACTGATTTATGAGTGTAGATCTGGTATACTGCTACTTTACTGAATTCATTATCATCTCTAGGAGTTTTCTGGTGGAATTTTTTGGGTCTTCTAGATATAAGTTCATGTCATCAGCAAACACAGATAATTTGACTTTTTTTCTGTATGTATTCCTTTAATTTCCTTCTCTTGCTTGATTTCTCTGGCTAAAGTTTCAAGAACTACATTGAATAGATGTGATGATAGACATCTTCCTCTTGTTCCTGATTTTAGAGGAAAAGCTGCTTTTCTCTGTGCAATATGGCTTTGTCAAACACAGCTTTTAAAATATTGAGGTAAGTTTCTTCTATTCTTAGTTTCTCCAGCATTTGAACATAAATCGGTGCTGGATTTTATCAAAAGCCTTTTCTTCATCTATTCTGATAATCATATGGTTCTTGTTGTTAATTCTATTTTAGTAGTGAATTATATTTATTGATTTGCATATGTTGAACCAATCTTGCATCCCTGGTTGAAACCAACTTGGAACATGGTATATTATCTTCTTGATATGTATTGAATGCAGTTTGCTAAATATTTTATTAAGAATTTTTGCATCTATGTTCATTAGGGATACTGGTCTATAGTTTTCTTTCCTAGTTTTTCTAGTTTTGGTAGCAGGGTTTTACTACTTCATAGAATATATTTGGAACTATTCCTGCCCTTTCAATTTCGTAGAATGATTTGAGAAAGACTAGTGTTAGTTCTTCTTTAAAGGTCTGATAGAGCTCGGCTGACAATCCGTTTGGTCCTGGCCTTTTCTTTCTTGGAAGATTTTTTAATTGATGTTTCAATTCCATTACTTGATATCAGTCTGTTTAGGTTTTCTATATTTTCCTGGCTCAATTTGGGCAAGAAAATGTGCCTAGAAATTTGTCAGTGTACTCTGGATTTTCCAGTTTATTGGAGTGTAAGTTTTCAAAATAGTTTCTAATGATCCTTTTGACTTCAGAAGTTTCTGTAGTAATATTTCCTTTTTCATCTCTAATTTGGTCTACTTGCATTTTCTTTCTTTTGGTTAGTTTGGCTAAGGTTTTATCAAACTTATTTATTTTTTTGAAGAACCAACTCTTGGCTGTGTGCAGTGGTGCAAACCTGTAATCCCAGCAGCTCTGGAGGCTGAGACAGGAGGATAGAGTTCAAAGTCAGCCTCAGCAATGTCAAGGTGCTAGGCAACTCAGTGAGACCCTGTCTCTAAATAAATACAAAATAGGGCTGGTGACATGGCTCAAAAAAAAAAAAAAAAAAAAAAAAAGAACTAACTCTGTTGTATTGATCATGTGTATTTTTTTTATTCTCAATTTCATTAATTTTGGCCCTGATATTATTTCCTGTCTTCTACTGATTTTGGAATTCGTTTGTTCCCCATTTTCTGAGATCTTGAGGTGGGACATACGCTTATTTATTTGAAATATCTCTAATTTTTTAATGTAGGCACTCAATGCTATAAATTTTCCTCTTAGAACTGCTTTCATACTGTCCTAGAGATTTTGATGTGTTTTATCTCTGTTTTCATTTGTTTATAAAAATTTATCCTCTGATCCATTCCTCATTTTTAAAAATATTATTCAGTTTCCATGTGTTTATGGGGTTCCTATTATTTTTCTTGCTGCTGATTTCTAGTTTCTTTCCATAATGATCTAATAGGATGCATAGGATTATATCAATTTTATAAATAAATTTTATTATGTCAAATTTATTTTTGTATTTGATAAGTCTTACATTATAATTTAGAACATGGGCTATTTTAGAAAAGGTCTCCAGACTGCTGAGAAGAAAGTAAATTCAGTTGTTTGGGGTGAAATTCTGTTGATGTCTAGTAAGTCTGTTTGATTTTTAGTATCATTTAGGTTGGAAATATCTTTATTGAGTTTATGTGTGGATAACCTTTCTATTGGTGATAGGCATGTTTTAAAATCCCCCAGTATGGGCTGGGGATGTGGCTCAAGCGGTAGCGCGCTCGCCTGGCATGCGTGCGGCCCGGGTTCGATCCCCAGCACCACATACCAACAAAGATGTTGTGTCCGCCGAGAACTAAAAAATAAATATTAAAAATTCTCTCTCTCTTCTCTCTCTCTCTCTCTCTTCTCTCTCTCTCTCTCTCTCTCTCTCTCTCTCTCTCTCTCTCTCTCCTCTCTCACTCTCTTTAAAAAAAAATAAAAATAAAAAAATAAAATTCCCCAGTATTATTGTATTGTGGTCTAATTGGTATTTAATGTCAAGAAGGTATTTTTGTTGTTGTCGATGTTTAATACAATTAGGTACATTGACATCTGGAGTATATATACTACCTTTATATCTTCTTATAGGATTGTTCCCTTTACTAGGATATAATGGTTCATTTTGTCTCTTCTTATTAATTTTTGCTTGTAATCTAGAATATAAAAATAGCTACTATTGGGCTGGAGGTGTGGCAGAAGTGGTAGTGCGCTTGCCTGGCATGCGCGGGGCACTGGGTTCGATCCTCAACATCACATAAAAATAAAATAAAGATATTGTATCCACCTAAAAAACTAACAAAAATAAATAAATATTTTTAAAAAATAGCTACTATTACTTGTTTTTGGTCTGCATTTTCAGGAAATATTTTTTTCCATCTTTTTACTTTCAGTTTATGAGCATCTTTGCCTATAAGATAAGTCTCTTGCAAACAGCATATAGTTAGATCTTGTTTTTTAATCCATTCTGTCACTCTATACTTTTAACTGGGGAGTCGCAAGCATTTACATTCAGTTGTTATGGATAAATGGTTGTTATTTCCTGCCATTTGTTGTTATTGTTATATTTAATTTGGTCTTGATTTTCATTTAGTTGGTTACTCTTCTATGTTCTTGGTCTATTTTGCAGTTTAGGGGCTAGTTTTTTGAGTTCTTCTGTACAGTATATCTTTAAGTATTTCCTATAAAGCTGGCTTAGTTGTCATGAATTCTATTAGTTTATGTCTATCATTGAAAGTTTTTATCTTTCTATCAATTCTGAAAGATATCTTTGTTCAATACAGCAGTCTTGGCTGACATCTGTTTTCTTTTAGAGTCAAGGTATAATTTTAGAATGAATTTTACTATTAGATGTTTAAGAGAAGTTCTAATTGGTAGTTGGATATTGGATTTTAGAGTTTAATACAGAGGATTAGGTCAGATATATAATTCAAATTCTTGTGCACTGGATAGTATTTACAACCATGAGACTCAATATGATCACCTAGTGTAGCACTGTCCAAAAAAACTTTCCATGATGACAGAGTCATTAATATAGAGACATGTATGCTGCTTGATAGAAGAGCTGCTAGCTTCACAGGACTGTTGAACTCTTGAAATGTGGCTGGGATCAATACTATCAGTAGTATAACCAGCACAGATCAAGTGAGTGAATGTAGGTAAAGCAGAGAAGAAGGAGCAGCTAGAAGTGGCAGATTGACAACCAGAAGAGAATAGCATCCTAGAAGTAATTAAGTGAGCCAAAAGTGAAAGAACTAGGTGGAACATGAAGAAGGAACACAGAATTGATATAAAAGTAATTAATGATTGGTACTCAACATAAACACTCCAAAGCTTCTTTAGTGGTGGTGGTTTGCAGGTCTGCTAATTTTCAAAGTTAACGATGAACTCCTTTAAAGCATAGTCATAGCATGATCTCACTCAACGAAAGTTAATCATGTTAGTTATTCTAACATATTTTCATTGAAGCCTTCTGGGTTCTTTCTACAGTATTATACTAAAACCTCAAAGATCAGGATGAGACCAAGAAAGAGGTCAGTTAAAAGAAGCAGAATCAGAAAAATAATTTGGAACATAAAATATTCTTATCAGCAATTGACAAATCACTTAAAAATTTGGCATTAATTTGACTAGGAAAAAGAAAATAGGAGGACTGAACAGTTTAAAATATATGTAGTTCTTTCAAGCACAGCTGCTGTTATTTTTGAAATGTTCTTTGGCATCAGTCCTTTAATCACATATTTTCAAATGTTTATAGTTCATGTACTTGAAATGGCACTTACCAAAGTGTGAACATCTCCTTCACTAAGGGCGAGATCTCGCTTTGTGATGAGATGGTTCCGGTCACCTTGCCCAGCAATTGTGTCATTCTTCTCAGCTGTTTGCAAAGATGAGATCTGTATTGCATAGCAAAAAGGTGATAAATAATAATGGAAAACATTTTATATCGACATTTTGACAAAAGGGTCTTATATTTTTATGCATGAAAATTTGGTGTGACAGAAAATTCACCAGTTAATATGTTGAGAAGAGTGAGGACAGAAAATATAGAGTCTTTAATGTGTATTTAAAAAATTAGCTATCCCTAGCAATTACTGTCTCTCTCATTGCAAAACTAAAAGGGAAACGGATGAAAATACATAGAAACAGCCTGGAATTCTAAAGTACATCTGTGATGAGTATTAATTTTGAGCATATTTTTTAGTTTTCTTAACTTTCCTTGAACCATGTTGGGCAATAGCTTCTTACAGAAATTTATGTTCTAGGATGATGATGACTATGTCTTAGAGCATATTTTTATATTCTATAAAATGATATTTTCATAGGTCATGTAAATTAAGAAAATCATAAGCAAAATAGTATATCTTATTCCAAAGATAAAAATTCCAAAAAAAGAACAGTCTTCAAACAATATTATACACTGGATAAACTAAGATGTGATGCATCCAAGGTCAAATCAACTCACTTAAGAATATCTTCCAAGGCTTAATAAACACTCCATAAATGTGGTTCACTAGGACTTCACAGAATTCATTATTAACCATTTTACAAATAATCTAATTCTTAGTGTATTGGTTATGAATTATAATATTTTGGCAAAGCCTATGCAATAAAATAGCTGTTCTATTCATGCATTTCACAGGTTTAATAAGAAAGCAATAAAAAGTAATCATGATGAAGAGGTGCTTAATAGCTTGGTTACCTTGATTCTCAAAGGGTTGATCTCCATATCTGAAGTACAGTTCATTGGCCCATCGATGTCATAATGAAGGATGTACAACAAAGTGTTGTTGTTATATTTATAAGGCCACTGAAGATTTAGCATGGCTTTGCTGAATGAACTGGGACCATTGTTTCTCAGCTAATGAGGAAAAGAAATGTAAATACCCTAGGCAAAAATGTATTCTATAATCCTTCCCATGTGCCAACATCAGAAATCATTTAAAAACAGGATTTGAGTAACAGCAGAGTTGCCAAAAATAGACTCTAAATTACAACATAATCTTATACAAAGAATATCAAACTCAACATTTGTCTCTAGAGTAACAGGTATCAGGATGAAAATATAAACAAAAGAGTTAAATATTAAATATTAAAGAGTTATTGATAATAAAAATTTTCAACCTATGGAAATAAAATTGTGATTATTAACTGTAGGCATTTTCAACTTTTAGTCAGAACTGCAAAATGCCCATGCGAAAATACCCAATGACCTAATTCTTTTATTCAAGTAGAATAAATTGGTTTTAAATAACGAATTATATCAATTACCTTCTTTAAACACTTAAAGCTTTTTATCTACTAAAAACAAACTTATAAATAGGGAAGAATTCAAAGAAATATAGGTACACCATAGGTACACACTAAATCTATCCAGAGTTTACATAAAAATTACATAGCATTGATTTTAAAACATAGCTTAGTTGTTCTCTTTGTTGGCTCTCTCACTAGGTTTCCCTTAAATCCAACAGCTGCAAACCTCGTAAATGTGCTGAACAACTGGCCCAACATCTTCTTCAGTCTCAGGGTTCTCCTTGTGCTCCCAATTTGGAATCGGAAGAAAGATATGATCAGGACTTGAGACTCTAAACAATGACCAAAGAAAACCTACCATGAATATCAAAATGATATGGTCAGTTCAATTTCAAAACTATGCTGTATTCAAATGAATAAAATTAGACCTAGTAACAAAGAATATTAAAAGGAAAAACTAGAGAATGCATACAGAAACCATAGCTGCTATTAGTAAATCTACACATAACAGGTAAATTGGAAAGTCAATTTGTGCAAAATCTCAATACGCTTATTTTGAGCATATTATTGTCATGTCTTGTTTCTTTTCAGAGGACTGGCAAATAAATATTTGGGGCTTTGGAACATATCCAAGATCTTTTTTAAACAGAATCTCCTGCCTTAGTAATGTACCACTAACATGGAGTATTTATGATCCAAAAGAAGGCTGAGCTTCACAGTTACATTTCAAAAGCAATCATGTCAATAGGATACTCAACTTAGTAATCATACTGACCCTCTTATCTCAACAGCAGCTATAACAGCAAGGTCAACTCTGTAAGATACAACTGGGCTTACTTTGTCAAAAAGATTAGAGCTGAAAAAGAAAAAGAACAAATTTAGAACAGAATTGGACAGAAACATCATCAAATTCCTATTGAGGCAAACCCAGCAAAACTAAAAATGAATAGATTCAAAGCAACAAAGAAATGAAAACCTTCTAAGTCAAAACAATTACTTTCGATAGCATTTAATTCCCAGAAGATGAGCAAGTTTTATTTCTTAATGTTTAATTTTGTCTTACAAACTCAAAATTGACAATATTATTCTTAAAATGTAAATATTGATTTTAAAAATCCTATAAAGTACTGAAGTTTTAACCTATACTATTCAAAAATATTTAAAATATATTATATAATATATCTGTAACACATTTCCTCAATAGTTATTACAAGGTAACACAAGGTGCTTTCATACCTTTGGATTTGTAAATCAAATTTTACAGAAGTATCCATCTCTGATTGCTGGTGTACACTGAATCGAAGACCAGCTAAGAGCTGAAAGAGAGGAAAAGATGGTAATATTAGTCAAAGTCTAAATAAAAATGAGAAATTTCAAATCCAATGTCCAAATAAAAACCAATGTCCTAAAATACACTGTTTATAGTAAAAGTGAACACAGATAATTACATATGGTTTTCTGTTGAATCTCTTATTTAAGATAAAATCCATAATGGAATCTATTTAACAACAATTACTAATAATAATAATTGTGATATTAATTATCTTTCTAAAATGTGCAAAAGTAAATGTTTGTTGATTCAATTAATTAATTAGGCACAATGATTTGGTAATTGGAAGCTAACAACTGAACTGTGTTAATGGGGTAGGAAGAAAGAAGTGGAGGGTTTACCAGAGTAACAGGAGCTAGTTAAAAGAAGCCTAAGTCTGGCCAGAACCAGAATTGCTCCTCCTCTCACCTTTCACAAACCCCTCAGGTAACAAACATCCTAATTCCTGCCTGTCACAAACAAAGGAGTCAAGGTAAAAGAAAGAAGTCTTCTTGGAAATAATACAAATGACACACAAAAAAATGGCACCTCCTGGGAACTGCCTCCTGCTTTCCACTTTGGAAAGCCTGGAGCTGACAACTTGGAATGACCAGGAACTCTCTACACTGAATGGGCTGTGAGTGAAAGATCTAGAGGAAATACGGTTGCAAAAAAATTAAAAAGATGTTCTGTTGTTAACGACAACTTTGAGTACATACAAAGTAAAAGGACTGATCAGAGTATTTGTTCAAGCCCTCTTCCCTAGACAACATACACATAAAACAATAATTTTTAGAGAAATATACACTTCAAGAAATATGAAATGTTTAGCTCCAGAGTGACACAGATCTCAAATTGCCAATATTAATGTGTCATTAAATAAATTAATTGTATTGTAAAAGCAACACTACGTAGCCTGTCATGTTTTCCTTTATACTGAAATATAAGAGGTATATTTTGTTTCCTTTTTAATAGGTTTGGGAAGAGACCCATTGGGTGTTTGCTTCTTTTCAAGCTCCTATGCTCCCTGCTCCACCATCTGAAGGGGCCTGATCCAACTCAATTTCCCTTTGATCTTCTGTGTGGGACCTGTAATACATGGCTTCAAGTTAATAAGTAGATTCTATCTCACCAAAGAAGACAGTCCTGATATTTGCCAGAGTAGTTTTTGAGGATCCATTAAAGCATCACTTTAAAATACCAAAATTAAAATTTCAGTTCCTTTTTTTTGGTTTTTGTTTGGGTTTTTTTTTGTTTGTTTGTTTGTTTGTTTGTTTCTTGCTAGGGATTGAACCCAGAGCCTTCTACATGCTAGGCAAGCACTCTACCAACTAAGCTACCTCTCCAGCTATAACAGTTCTTAATCCATGTTCTCATCCATTTACTAAACTAAAGGCAGCATCAAAAGCAGATTTTTGAGTACGGTACAATAGCACAACTCATTATTTTAGTATCTTGTTCAAACTGAAAAGAACTCTGTTAATTATGATACTCAAAATCAAAAACCAAATTAAAGACACTGTTTTGAAATGTTTTTGATCTTGTTGTTTTAATGCTATGAACCAATGCAGAGAACAGCAAAGTATTCTATAATCCACTCGATTAAAATGTCTTACTTGAGTTCCAGCCTTCATTGGGTTCCCCAGGTCACATACCACTTGGCGGGTTTGGTTTTCTGTCTTAAATGCACAGGAAAGTCTTGCTAAGTCCTTTGTTAGACAAAGAAAAAGGACATGAAAAGGAAAATAAATTAATGGCTAAAAAAAAAAAGTAGAAACCACAAGATTATAAAGTTACAACTGAGTATCATGCAGTTAGATATTATTTTTTTAGTGAAAAAAAATAAATCTCAACAAACGTGGAATAAGAAATCAGAACTGTGTGTGATTGCCACATATAAATGCAAAAGTGTTTCTGAAAGATCCCTAGAGGACTTACATACATAATCATAGTTCCTCTGACAAATAAGTTGATGGACAGGCTTAGACACTTTATCTTTCTGACCTCATTTTCAGGCACTTAGCAAGCAATTTTTAAAATGTCGTATCAATGCATTATGTAAAGTATTAGGCTTAAAAGGAATTACATAGAATAGGCACTCTATTGTCTAGCAATTCAGCCTTAGGTAGAATGGCTAAGCTGTGTTTCACTAAATAGGGGAGTAGCTCATTAATGTTAATAAGACCTGTGAGTGCATTTCAATTTTTAAAGAGGTAGCTTGCTTACCTCACTATTTCGGACAACCCCAATGAAATCAGCCTGAGGTGGCATGGAAATGATGAGCTCAGCTTCATAGGCACCTTCTCCTTGATTCTGAGCCTTAACAATCAATGTGAGAGGGTTGTCGTCTCCAATGTAGATCTTCTTTTGATCACTGAAAGTTAATATGAATTTAAACAGTGAAAAAAGACTACATGGGGAGCGTATGGCTGTTCGAAGAAACAAGAGATAAATACACAGACAGCCCCAACATGTTCAACAGTGTCTCAAGATATTTTAAGACTTCTTCACAGTTCAATAGAAAACAGAAAATAGCATACTGGGAGCAAGTCCAACACTTCTCTCTGTAAAAGAAAACATTAATGCCATGATGCCACTAATAAATCACTGGCTTTCATATTTATTACTGAAGTAATTTTGTATCTCTGCATGTACTTTTGGGGTGGGGGGGGAAAGGATGGAGACTGAACCTAGGGCTTCACACATACTAGGCAAGCACTGAGTTTACATTCCCAGCTATTTTTTAAATTTTGAATCAGGGTCTCACTAAATTGCCCAGACTGGCCTCAAAACGGTGATTCTAGGGCTTTGGTCTCCTGTGTAGCTGGGATCACATGTATGTACCACCATGCCTGGCTCAGCATGTACTTTTTTTTTTTTTTTTGTGGTGAAGGGGATTGAACCCAGGGCCTTGTGCATGCAAGGTAAACATTCTACCAACTGAGCTATATCCCAGCCCTGCATGTAAATTTTAATCCCCTAATTATTTTCTTTTTTTTTTATTGATTGTTCAAAACATTACAGAGCTCATGATATATCATCTTTCATACATTTGACTCAATTGGGTTTTGAACTCCCTTTTTTACCCCAAATACAGATTGCAGAATCACATCTGTTACATACTCACATTTTTACATAATGGCATATTAGTGACTGTTGTATTCTGCTACCTTTCCTATCCCCTACTATCCCCCCT